AGGAGATGCCGAGGCTGCTGGAGTGTGCTACGGTGAATTTTGGGGTGGCTGTAGCCCAGCCCATAGCCCCCGAGCCGACAGTATGCAGCCTGCCCTCGCTTTGTGCACTGATCTGGGGGGCACATGCCCCCATGCCTCCCCCAGGGGTGCACGCAGCAGCAGGAGCCCCCGGTCCCCCAGACAAGCTGCCTGCATCTCCTTCCTGCGCCCTGCCCTGCTCTAACTGGGCAGCGCCTGCCCCAGCCCCACTCCCTCCCTCACCATGGGGGCCTTGATCTGTCCCCCCACATGCTCCTTCCCTTCCCCTGTCCCTTCCCCCGCAACAGTCTTACCAGCCAGATGCTGCTTTCCAAACTGCAGGGCTGCATATTGGCAATTGGATCAGTGTCAGCTGATATGGCTGGTTAATAACTGGCCATCAGTGTCGGCCAAAAAAACCTTTATCGATGCACCTCTAATGAGAAGCAAACTGAGCAGCTAAGCTCTTTTGGAAGAGTGATCACCAGGGATCCAGGTTTCCCATAGGAAAATGGAGAAAAACATGGATTTCCCCCTTTACCAGAGGAAAACACCAATTTTTCATTTTAGCAGAAAAACCTACGGATTTTGCAGTTTTGCAAAGAGCTCTCTGCAGGCTGGCAGAGTTCCAGACTGCAGGGGGCTGGGAGGGAGCGGGAGGATGGTGGTCAGGCAGGGGGTACCACATGCATGTTACATGCACTTGGCCCCAGGCAGCCTGGAGAGCAGCTCCTGCGGGTAAGTCGGGGGAGGGGGGGGACACAACTGAGGCCCTCATAGGGAGGGAGGGAGTTAGACAGGGCTGGGGCTGCTGGCCAGCTGGGGGGTACATAGGGCTTGGGGCCCGGGGCTGCAATGTGTGCCTGAAGGGCCATGGTGGGGAGCAGGATGGGACCATGGGCAGCTCATCCAGGTGGAGGGGAAGGGGGGAACTGTCTCCCTGCCACTGCATGCACTCCCAGGGAGCAGGGGGACCTGTGCCCCCCAGATCTGTGTGGGGTGGGGCTAAGCATGAGCTGCCCGCTGCCAGCTCAGGCTTCTGTCCTGCTGCCATCCTTTGGGGCCTCTGTTGCCCAATGGGTGTGACCCAGTCCTGCAGGGCAGAGCGGGGCCACGTAGAAAAGCCACTTGCCTCTACTAGCTCTGCACTACCCTGACACATCCCCTGTGCATACAGCAGCAGCGGGGGTGACAGTGCAGGGTTGTGGCCCTTGCTGTGCCATGCACAGGGGATGTGTAGCCAAGGCAGTGAAGAGCTTGCAACAGCAAGCAGCTTTCCTGCCTAGCCTCACTCTGCCCTGCAGTGCTGGGTCACACCCACTGAGTAGCAGAGGCCACAAGGGAGGGCAGCAAGGCGGGAAGCCTGAGCCTGCAGCAAGCAGCCCATGCCTGCCCTGCGTGCAGATCTGGGGGGTACAGGTTCCCCCTGACCCCTAGGACTGCACGCAGTGGTGGGGAGCCAGCTTCTCCCCCTGCCCGAGCCAGCAGCAAGAGGGCGGAGAGGGGAAGAGGGGCTATGCTCCATGTTCCACTGCAGCAGTTGCTGCCTTCTGTTGGGGGCAGGAGCTGTGGACCCGGGTCCCTGGCCCCATAGCCCTGACATCTGGGGGCCCCTCTGGCAGGGCTGTGGGTGGAGTGAGGGGTATGAGCAGGGCCAGGGGGCTGTGGGGAAGAGGAGTGAGGAGCACCAGCAGGGCCAGGGAGGCTGGGGGTGGGGGGAGTGATGGGGCCTTTCATTTTAATCATGGATTTTGGGGGTTTTATCAGAGAATTTGTGATTTTTAGGGCAAAGCAGGATCCCTGGTGATCACCCTTAGGAAGTCTTGCCTGCTTGCAGCACAGCTCTGAATCCTAGTGCAAAACTCAAAGATCTTGTATGGCCCAGTTAGGTATCAAGGTGTAGTGGATGGCAGTTCTGACACCCTACTGGCTTACCAGTGAAGTAGCGCTGAGTGGTATTCCATGGCAGAGCTTTCCTTGGAAACTTAACCAGTTTTTCCCCTTCAGCAACTAGCTGTTTCTCTCATGTTCATACATGTGCTGTGCTATTGTCAGTAACCCTATACCCTCAAGAGCCACCACAGTGGTGCTGGCAGAAGTAAGTTCAATTTCTACACTAAGGCAAAACAAATACGAGCAGTAATAATAATAATGATGATGATAAAACTGCCAGGCGCCTGGGAGAACGGACAAGAGCATCTATCTTTTGTCTTTACGGTAACCATTCCATTCCTTCTGGTGAGGTAATAAAGGTAGTCAAGGCACTGATATGAATAGAATGAAAAGAGGGACTGGGAAAGGGTGACAGCTGAGGAAGCGGTATGTAAAAGGGCATGAAAAATTAACAAATGATGAATGGGGAGAGAGAGAGAAAGAAACTAAAAGGTAAGAAAATACACTTTGCTTAGTAAAATGTTTGTGTACATCATGTTTCATTGAAAAACTCATAAGGAAGAGTACAACCAGGTACAGTCCATATGAACTGATGTAGAATTCACATTTAATTCTACATAAATTCATTCCCTATTATCTATTCATTGTGAATAGAATTCACATTAGATGTCTTGGCTTCCTGATGAGGTGTCAGTGCAGCTTAGTGCTCCAGAAGCTGCACACTACTGTTGCATAAAAAAACCTCTGAAATAACTATAGGGAAATATAGCAAGCCTTTTAAAATCATAGAATATTAGGGTTGGAAGTAACCTCAAGGTCATCTAATCCAACCACCTGCTTGAAAGCAGGACCATCTCCAACTAGATCATCCCAATCAAGGCTTTGTCTAGCTGGGTCTTAACTCCAAGGAAGGAGATTCCACAACCTCTCTAGGCAACATATTCCACTGTTTTACTACACTTCTAGTGAGAGGTCTTTTTTCTTAATAGCCCTTTGTTTGGCACTTGCATATAAAATAGTTGAGAAGCTTCTTGGATCTCTCTGGGCATTCCTAAAAGAATTTTCAGACCAGTACTGAAACCATGAGACAGGTATTTGCCTCTGTATCTTCCTTGTTCTTTTCACTGCTATATGCTGATAACTTCTAACAAGTGCAAGTGGTAAAGAGACTTATCAAGGGAGATGATAAATATTGTTGTGCATTTATAGCTAAAGATCTTTAAATGCTTTGTCAAGTCTACTAATTGTATACCTGGAGGATGGAAGAACAGCCACGTGTGGGATGGGGATGAATTGTGACAAACACATTAACAATACATAGTCAAGTTACACAACCAGTTAAATCAGGAAGTGAGGAATACTGTGTTTTCATTGAAATTATAAATGGAATTTAATTATTCACAATGTAATTCCGAGAGTGGGATTTGGCCAGAATATTAGTGATGGCACGTCTTTCTTCTATGAAAGCTGTGTTGGCATCTCCACTGACACCTTTTTGGTTTTATGTCTCTGTTGAGAGATTTGCACCAGCCACTTAGTGCCCTAAGTACCATAATAGGGGCTTAGATTGAATGGGTCTTTGTGCAACAACTTGTTTTTATCTCTTACCTTCCATCCAAATACAGGGCTTCCTTGACTTAAAGGATATTGGGTAGTATGGCTGTAGGGCATGGGGAGCAAAAGATGAAATCTGTTGTCTTCAGCTGTTTCTTGGTAATTAAGTTAGCAATTATGTTTGTTGTGCGTGATATAATTTTCTCTTTCAAACTTATTCAAGTAACTTCCAGGTAGACTTTGTTCTTTTCACAGGAATATACTTGATGCAGTTGTGCTGGGAGCGGACAGTGCAGTTTTGTGTTTCTATGTAAGCTCTGTGGTTTTAGTTATCTTCTGTGTTTTTCCTTTTTGTCTTGTCCCCTGTAGGTTTATCCAGGTAAATCACATCACAGGTCTGTATCACTGAATGGCTTTGGTAAATAACTGCCTTTGTGTTCTTTTAGAAATGACTTGCTAAATTGTAAAGATGCTTTTCAGGGTTTACACTTTTTAAATCTGTTTTATGCTTACTTGCTTTTTCAGTAGTTTGATATGGTGACTTGCATACTATATTGGTAGTTATCTCTGTTGATACGAACTAACTTGAAGTTCCTGTTGCCAAAGTTTGGTCCTCAACTTATTAGGAGATCCTTCTGGCTGGTAAAGTTCACTAGTTCCCACAGGAAATCTGCAGGAACCAGTGAACCATGTTAGGATCGGAGCAGAAGCATTTAGGCCAGGTTTTTTAAAAATGATTAGTGGCTTTTTGGTTTGGGGGTTTTTTTGTTTTTGTTTTTGCATGGCCTAATTTTGGGGTGCCCAACTTGAGACACCTTTTGAAGCCCAATCTTTTTTGTTTTTGTTTGTTTGTTTGTTTTCCTCCTCCCCTTCCCCTTATCGTGTGTGTGGTGCCCTCCTGATTTCAGTGCCCTGGGTGGTTGTTCACATCACCACCTGTAAGGCTGGCTGTGTGAGGGAGCATAATTGTAAAGGCACCAATTAGTAAACTCTTGCTGCATGGCCCCTGGCTTATACTGATCAGGAGGGTGAGCTGATCAATCAGAGGAGACAGCTTTGCAAAGTGTCAGTTTTTGTCCATAACAAATTCTACTGTTCCCTTTCTAAATAATAGATAGTTCTATGAAAGTATTTACAGCATGTACTCTGTATGTGTGCCTGCATACTGATGATCCTTTTAAAGGCTGAGGTGACTTTATGGGGCCTGAGCTTCAGATGTAGGTGCTTGGCACTTCTCAACCCCATGACAATTGGGCATTGCAGATGCTCAACACCTGTCAAACACAGTTCTCCAGTATTTGTGGAAGTCTTGCTTCCAAAAGTGTTCAAGCTAAATAGGTGGCCTGATTTTTCAGGGGCCAGGCAACTTCTGTTAAAGTCAGTGGGTTGATGGTGGCTGGCACCGCTGATATTCAGGCACCCATGTTCAGAAATTCAACTTTGTATTTCTGTCTAAAATAAACCAGAGAAATGTAGAAAAATAACTTTTTTATTTACTGTTTTCATCTGACCGCTTTTTCTTTCACATTTTTAAGCTTTTCTACACTTGGAGAAGAAAGAGCAGCAAAAGATGGTCATTGATCCGCCATCTAAAGGATCAAGAAAAAATTACTCTTTCACAAATGAGGAAGTAAGGCAAATTGATCGGGAAAACCAAAGGCTCTTAAAAGAACTGTCCAGACAGTCTACAAAGCCAAGGAGCAAAAGTGCCACACTGAAGAAGTCTACTCTCCCACCTCCTAAGTTATACCACAGTGCCCTCAACAGGCAAAAGGAACAGCAGAGGATTGAAAGAGAGAATCTGGTAAGTTATGAAGTATTATAGTTTTGGATTGGTGAAGTGGGAAAGGCTACCTATTTGATGCTAACCAAGCTATTAAAAGAGTATTTGAAGCATCTTGTTAGAATTTTTTTCAATTTTATTGTGGGAAGGCTGCAATCATGATGTTGATGCATCATAAATTATACTGATACATCAGTGACAGGAACTGAAAATGTTAGGAATATGGAATAATATCTAGACACTTGCATGCCACTATAGCATGTGAATGCATAATATTCATGTATATTTGATAGAAAAATGTACCTTTCCGTGATAAAAATGGAACTGTTTGCAGTATATGAAATGCATTTAAAATGATATGGCATTGGTGTCTTGTATCACTGTTCCATCTGAGGGGAATAACAGCTTCCTGGGGCAGGGGACTGGACTCGGTGATCCTCTGGGGTCCCTTCCAGCCCGAATGTCTGTGAAATCTATGAAATATACCCACCATTCTAATTCAACAAGTACAGTTTCTTTTTCTTTAAGACCAGGAATGAAGAAGAAAAAAACTTTAGCAATGAAACCCATTAAACACATGAAAAGCAAAATTTAAACTATCAGAAATAACTGAGTGTATAGCTAGCAGTCATTTTCGGTAGCTCTACCACGCTCCTACTCCCATCATGTTGAACCTGTATGGTAACCATGGTAACTTATTTTAGTGGCAAAGAGAAATCTAGTTTTAATTGTAATATGGCTGTTGATAAGGATAGTCAAATAATAAATGCATAAAAGTACAATTTTAGTTTATAATGACTATCATATTGTTAGATAGTAGTGAAAATTTTGACACGAGACGTGTTTTATAATAGACATTTACAGCCCAGCAGATTTGGTTTTTTGACTAATACTTTTGTCAGGCCTTGCACCATGATCCTTGCCTCCAGGGCAGCTGCAGGTTTGGGGAAAGCTGTTCTATGATTCCTTTCTAAGCTGACTTTCAAGCACTCTACCAAGTGGTCTTGCAAATGCTTAAAGAAGAAGAAAAGGTTACTCACCCATTTTGTAGCGTATTCGTGGAGATGCATTTTATGTGGCTGTTCCACATCCTGCCTTGCATCCTGTCTCTCATGGAGTCACAATTCATGTTGAAGGAACTAAGGGAGCCTCAGGGCAACTCTGCCCTTTCTTCCTGCCTCCATTTTAAGGCTATAATTATGTGCGTCATTCATGGCTCCAGTGGTTCAAGCTGCAAGCAATTATTCTAACTTGTGCGCAGGCCTTCAGTGCAAAGGGGTACAACATACCTAGTGTTCTGCATTTTCATTTTTTTTATTTTAAAAAAAAAATTCTGGTAATTTTTTCAGGGTTTATCTTCCAGACATAAAAAATGGGTTGAAATTGGGATAAAAGGAAGAAAAGCAGAAAAATCCATTTAAATCGGGGGGGGGGGGGG